GTGTGTGTGTTCGTGATGGTGATTTTTGTGACATTGTTCCGCCATTAGATGGCGACAAGTGACTGTTTTACGAGTCAGAAGTAAAGACTTTTATATTGAAAGAGACTGAAATGGAAGTTATTTTCACTTTTAATAACAGCTTGTAAGACGCAGTTAACCAATGCACTGAGCAGCGCTGTCATCGGAAATCATCCTTAACAGATGAAAGGACAGTACGACAAAGATATCGCTTTCCTCAGCGGACATTCAAACTAATGTTTTATTGTGAATATGAGATTGAGCTGAAGAATGAATGCTGTATCAGATGCAGGTAAACACGCTCGCTCAGCCCATCTCCCTCTCACAATACTCTACATACAGTGAGCTTTTAATTAAGTAATAAAATAAGTTTTTAATGAAGCAGCTCAATGTTCCTTCATTACTAGTTCTAAAGTGATGTTTTCTAATTAGTAACAGATCTTGAGCTCAGCTGTTAAACTGTCAAACTGAGATTTGAATATGTGGCGGAAGGAAGTAGTTCCTCACAAAAGGTTTTTTATAGACACTCAGGGTGTTTTCACACCTGGCCCGTTGTTTCGGAACCTGGCGCGTTTCCCCCCTTAGCAAAGCAATCGATCTACAGGTGTGAAAACACCCTCAGTTATTGTTTTTCTTATATATTTACACTCGTGCGGTCAAACTGTTGTATAAACGCAATATCACACTCGTACTCGAGCGATATTGCTCATGTACACCTATTGCGGTGTAAGAGATTATATTTGACCATATAGACCCAACTATATCATTACCTCATTTCACATGCGTCGAGGATGTTTACGTAGAAGTCTTAAAGGTACATTAAAAAAATCAAAGTAAAACTACTCCAGTAAAGTACAGATACTTGAAAAATTTACTTAAGTACAGTAACGAAGTAAAACTACTTTGTTACTGTCCACCACTGACTGGGTGTATACTGTACATTTATGTCACATGGCATGTACTCAACAGACAACAAGTTCTGGAAACATCCAACTGTAAATCTTATTAAATATTTATTAACTAAAAACCAGTGCTTCACTGCACAGCTAACCTTCACTGGCTGCACTCTCAACTCAAAATTTCATCGGAAGGGAAGGGACAGACTAACCCGTAGTGTTGTGATTCGAAACTGATCTCGCAGTCTTCCGTCTTCATCTTTAAGGTTGTATCCTTCTGCTCGTTTGTCCCTTTCGCTGATCTTCCATAGTTTGATGGTTTTGTCTTTTTGAAAAGAGAAAACAAAACAGGAAGAAAAACACTTCAGTAACAGAAATTGCACATCCAAAGCTCCTTTCTAAAACCAAGTGACCTAGGCAGCTCAAATAAATCTTGAAACACCACCATTCACAAGTTTTAAGTTGGTAAGATTTTTTTTTGTTCTTGAAAGCATCTAATGTTCACCAAGGCTGCATTTGTTTGATATACAAATGCAGTAAAAACAGAAATGTTGTAAACATATTACAATTTAAAGTTCCTGTTTTCTATCAGAATATATTTTAAAATAATAATTTATTCCTGTGATGCAAAGCTGAGTTTTCAGCATCATTACTCCAGTCTTCAGTGTCACATGATCCTTCAGAAATCATTCGCTGCTTAAGAAAAATGTCTTATTATTATTAATATTGAAAACAGTAAATATTTGTTGAAATTTTTTTCAGGATTTTTTGATGAATGGACAGTTCATTTTAAATTAATTTTTTCTTTGAAATGTAAATCTTTTATAACAATATACACGGTCACTTTTGATCAATTTAATGCACCACTGCTGAAGAGGAAAAAAAACTGACATTTGAATGGTGGTGTACAACAAAACACAAAAACAGAAGTAAAATCTCAATTTGGTCTTCATACCGTTTGCAGACAGGAGAAAGTGTGCAGCGTTCTGTTGCGGGAGCCATCTGATTTTATTGATCTTCTCCTCGATTTCTAAACTTTTCAAGTAATCAAACTCGGGCTCGTGACTCTGAAAGGTGCTGTACACGTTGTATTCCCCTCTTGAGAGCAGGCGGTTTTTACTCTATGGGGTAAAAACAATGAACAAATAAGTTAACACACCAACTGAATCATGCAATAAATGCAATAAAAATCTTTAGGTTGCATCACCTCCTGTTCTCGCTGAAATATGACGACTCTTCCCCCTTTGTCTCCTGTGGCTAGTAACTCCCCCGAATAATTAAATTCAACGGTTGAGATAATGTCCGCTGCATAACCAGAAAGGAAGAAAGAAAGATAAGACAATTATTTACTTCATACATTAAACATGCACAGCTTTAAAGGGGTCATATGATGCAATTTAAATTTTTCCTTTCTCTTTGAAGTGCTACAAGCTCTTGGTGCATAAAGAAGATCTGTAAAGTTGCAAAGACTAAAGTCTCAAATCCAAAGAGATATACTTTATAAAAGTTAAGAGTCAACCACGCCTACCTAAAACGGCTTGTTTAACACACCCCCACATGTCTACGTCATGATGTGGGAAGATTTGCATAACGCCACCCAAATGTTCACGCAAAGAAAGAAAGCATAACTTTTATTCTCGCTGTAGTATTGTTGACACTGCAGCCATGTCGTGAAGACGCTGTGTGCTTCGTTGTGAAAGCGAAACTACTTTGTTTGGCCTTCCAAAAGAGGACGATATCCGCTTCGTCATGCCTAGAGCTCATCCGTGCGGGTCGCTGAGGAAATACATCAACTTAGTGCTGTGGATCACCGGATCGGCTTTCACCGTGGACGAAGCGGAGTCCAGCCCAGGGTCATCACATGTGGTTGCCGCAAGCCCGCCCGCCGCCGCTCACTCAAGCCGGCCTCCGCTCACTCTAGCCGCCGGCCTCTGCTCACTCTAGGCCTCCG